AGTACACGGAGAGGGAATTTACGGGTTTATCGCATGGAGGGTATCTGGCTGTTAGCGCATGCAGCTCCCCATGCGTCTAAAACGCGAAGCTGATGCGCTGGATGCCAGCCAGTGCTTGTGTTAAGGCCCGTAGAGTGTTACATGCTATCAACACATGTGAGTACACGGCTGCGAACCAAGAAAAGCCGTAGCCGAAACTCATCGACTATGTCCGAGCTGAAAACGCAAGGAGCATGATGGGTTTAACGCATCATGCTCCTTGCGTTTTGGGTATCAGCTGATAGTTGGCGGCGTTGGCACGAGGCGCGAGCGCCTATATATATATGCTATATATGTATATATACATATAAATATGTATACATTTAACGCTGTTTCTGTTCTTTTAAGTATTACATATGAGAATGTGTTACAAGTATGAACTTTAAACGCTATGCAAGTTTTAGAAAGGAAAAAAAAAATTTTAATTAATGTAACAAAATAAAAAATTGTATAATACAGGAAGTTTTTACTTTCTTTTTTTCTCGCTTGTTTCTGCTGCATGTAATGAAGGAAAAATAAATTAATCGACTATTATTTTGTGCATAGCATTAAAAATTTATTTGTCGTTATCCAAATAAATACTATAATTTATAGAAAAATGAAGGCTATTGTACCAATTGTTTATACTTTATGTAAAACATGCAAGGTAATGATGATAATACAATAAGAAGCAAACCATTGGAAGATAACGAAGGTTGTACAAGTGATTCTGAAAAGTCTCCTGCTTGTTGTTGAAAATTATCCATAACCAAAGTCTAACATGCAAGACTTTAAGACTTTGTAGTGAATTAAATATCTTGAGTGCTTATGAACGGAGACAATTCAGTAAATTAGAAATCATGTGCACAGGGTCCTATATCAATCAAACATAACATAATTGTAAGTGTCAAACCGATACACCAACAGATTATTTCTAAAGAGCTGTCGACGTACTCAAAATGTACGTTTGCGTTTCTGACACAAGATAAGTGTTGTTGCAATAAGATATTTTTTAATAAATATTTGACAAATAAATTATTACTGCCTATTCTAACGTACATATATGTATATTTATATATATACATATATGTGTGTAAACTTATTTCTGATGTTTTTGGTTAGAAATACCACAACATTGAAAATTTTGTGCGAATGCATCATCTTTATATACTTACGTACCAAATTAAATGATTTGCGATGAGATGCATAAGCTAGCTGTTACACCGTTTGTCACTCGTACACAATGCACATCTCGAAATTGCTGCACTTAGTATTTGGAAAGGCTATGAGAATATTGAGAATCATATATACATAACGTGTATACGTATACGTATATAGCAGACTCTTGCGCCAACCATCAGCTGATACCCAAAACGCAAGGAGCATGATGCGTTAAACCCATCATGCTCCTTGCGTTTTCAGCTCGGACATAGTCGATGAGTTTCGGCTACGGCTTTTCTTGGTTCGCAGCCGTGTACTCACATGTGTTGATAGCATGTAACACTCTACGGGCCTTAACACAAGCACTGGCTGGCATCCAGCGCATCAGCTTCGCGTTTTAGACGCATGGGGAGCTGCATGCGCTAACAGCCAGATACCCTCCATGCGATAAACCCGTAAATTCCCTCTCCGTGTGACTATAATCGGCTGTATCTACTTTTACAAAGTCTACATTATTTTTTTAAAAGAAACACTTGACAATCATCTTTCAATTTCAGATGGAGGCAATTACGTATTGTTAACGATAAAATAGTAAACAATTTACTTGCATGTTTCGTAAAAAAAAAAATATATGTATATTCTAAAATAAAAAGCTACTCGACATTTAACTAGAAAAAAAAAATTCTTATCGGATACAGTTTTAGCGTATGCTCAAAGAATAAAAACGTTCAACAACAATAAAAGAGAAACCAAAAGGAACGAGAGACAGAAACAACAATAGTACGAAAAGTCTCCTTTACGAACCTCGTTACGTCCCTCACCTTCGGCTCGNAAAAAAGAAAAATAACTAACTTACGTACATTTCTAAAAATACTATACTATTTAACGATAAAGATACTGTGACAAAAATTATTTTACTTACTCCATTTATAAATATACTCTACTGGATTACATACCACATTATCAATCAAAATACAAACTAGCATAGGTAAAAATTACTTCAAAATCATCAAAACAATTACTAGACAAAGCAAAATTTATTCGGAATGAAAGTTAAAGGTAGTAAAAAAATATGGTGCACATAGAAACGTAAACAAAAGGATTTGTCATGCCTGATGATAAATAATCAAACGATTGCATATTATTGCATTTTTGTTATTCTTGAATAAAATAAAAAAAACCACTGTCATCGTCATGTTTGCGAGCCGACATAGTTTTTAATGGTGTTAATCTCAATATTTGAAGTGTACGACGCGTACACGTGAATAAGTATGTGTCTCTTTGTGATGGGCATCACAAAATACTCACCGGAATGGTATCGACTCTCATTGCGCGTGAGCCTGCGGTTGCCGCGCCTCGCGGCAGACGAGTTCGAGTTGTTGCTCGCGTTGTTGTTGGCCGTGGGGTTAGCCAAAGGTGCGCCGATTCCGCTATTAGCCGCGACTCGACCGCCTGCAGCAACGTATGCAACAACAACGAGAGACAAACCATAGACACGATACTCTTTTTTTTTAAGGTTCATATTTTGTGCTGTATATAGCACAGAACAAGTCGCGATTGCGCTCTCTTTGCCCGCGGAGTGTATCCTTTTGTCCTGCCTGTATCTCGCGTGTGCGTGTGTATAATATTTCGTACTATATTGCCTGCATGCATGAAGTATCTTTGTATGTACTCTCGCTTTCGTATGGTATTGGACTTTGGTCTACGCTCGTTGTCGCGACATTTTTTTTTTTTCTTCGGACTTGCGGTGTCATGACGCAGCTGCGTCCGTGGACCCCCTGAGGTTTCACGAGGGTATGTAAGGATTTTTATGGGTCACGGTTTTTTTTTTTTTTTTTTTTTTTTTTTTTTTTTTTTTTTTTTTTTTTTTTTTT